CGGACGGATGGACTGACGGATGGACGGACGGACAGATGGATGGATGGAAGGATGGAAGGATGGATGGATGGATGGATGGGTGGATGGATGGATGGATGGATGGATGGATAGACATCCCCACAGGAAGGGAAATCGAATTCGTGCCTTTTGCGTGTTATCCGAAGAGCGCAACGTTTACATCACGGGCATCGTGATGCTTTTTCAATGTTTTAACTTTGGGAGTGGGCGCTCCATTAGCTCAGTTTATAAACGAGACAAGGGACAGACCCAGATCAGCTAAGTTGGAAAGCCTAACCTAAACATAATATGGGTGATGAGGAAAAGATCAGGATAATAATAAATAATATAGCTTTCTTTTTAGACCATGCGAGCTAAGGAATGAATGGTAAATTATGATCGTCGATGTCTGTCGCAGATATGACACTTGAAGATGAGTATGATGATGATCTGGTGTTTTACTTTTTCGAGTCAGTCTGCCTGCCTATTTACCTCTCCAAATAAGAAGAAGAAAAAAAACCCAATATCTAATTACTTTGCATTAACATTATGTTTTCTGCTTTCACTGAAATGAAAAGGGAAATTTAACAGTAAGTAATTAATTGTTATATAGCGTTCGAATTGGTCTGTATTCGATCATGAAATATTACGTGGGCGTGGTGTATTATCTCTTTTATTTATAAACGATCGGCTCGTAAGCTTTCATCGTAGGACGTGAGATAACGTGCAATCTTGAAAACGTCATTCTTTCAAAAACATTCACATCAAAACTGCGCACCACATTGATATAATAATAAACAACGAGGACAACTCCGCCCGTCTTGCAAACAGGTAAAACATAACAGAAAGATGAGGGTAAAAAATGAAGTAAGAAAAGAAAAAAAAATTTTTTTTAAAGATATAGATCTAAGAAGAACAGAGATGTGAAGAAGAACAGTTTCATGGAAAGAGATTTTAGAAAAGAAAAGAAAAATAATTTTAAGAAGAAAAACAAAGGAAATTTGGATTGTACCTGCGTATTTAAGCGTATGGTCACAGGTCCTACTTTTTGGTCTATTTTTATCGTTATCTCTGTGTAATCTTCTCGGTAACACACTTCACGTCTACCAGTAAGATGAGAGACCCAAACAAAAAGAAAAGGTTTTAACGTGCACACTGGGCCTATCAATTATCGGCTTTTAGAGTCGTCCCAGAGCTAACGATTTTTGTGGTGGGTTTTTTTTTTGTGGTTAAATTTTGGTGTACATCTAATTGATACTTTTAGGTGTGTGTGTGTGTGTGTTTGTGTGTGTGCGTGCGCACGTATGTGTGTGTGTGAAAGTGTGTGTGAAAGTGTGTGTGTGTGTGTGTGTGTGTGAGAGAGAGAGAGAGAGAGAGAGAGAGAACGACCGATGGAGCGAGAGGGAGAGAGATATTGTGAGTGAGTGAATGAGTGAGCGAGTGAGAGCGTTAGTATCAGACACATGGCTGCTGTGCCTGCCCGTCCGTCTGTCTCTGTATCGTGGAAGTGTCAATGGTTTCGGGCATTCAAGTTATCACCATCCCTCACTTATGGAAGCGATTCTTCGCCACTAAGACCACTGCAGGTCAACCAAAAACCTATGACACATAGGTGTTAAATCTTGGAGACTGCCAGGACTCATAGGTGTTAAATCTTGGAGACTGCCAGGACTCATAGGTGTTAAATCTTGGAGACTGCCAGGACTCATAGGTGTTAAATCTTGGAGACTGCCTGAAACTGTAGGAGCAACTGGGCGACGGCTGCTGGGTAACAAGGCTGTGAGACTGAGACTGGCAGTTGTTGGTCGCGAGATTGGCTACTGTACCGTTTGTCTTGAGATTGGCACCTGTTCGTCTTCAGTGCAGGCGTCCAAGTTGGAGAACAGTACTTCTAACTCCACGACCCCGCCAGCATCGACTGCAGGGGTCGAACGAAATCTCTCATAAAATGCCGAAACCAACAGTGGAGAAGAGTGCTCTTCGGTGACAAGAGCAGATCCTGTGTGGATCCTGGAAATCGCCGCATCCGTGTGTGGCGCAGAGACGGACAACGCTTATCCGAGGACGTAATCTTAGGGAAAACAAAAACAAAACAAATACAAACACACACACACACACACACACACACAC